TCAAATTAATCGGATGTGAGTGCCGGACATAAGATTAAAAAACAACAACATCAAAAAAGGGATTATAAAATTAGTGCTAACAATGGCCTATAACATTTGATATATAATTCCTATAGGTAGACACTTTGAGGTGCAGTGGTTAATTGAGTATTATATTATAATACTAGAATTATGTATCAACTCATGATAATAGAATTGGAAAAATAACTAAATGCTAGTACTATATATGATTTCCATTTTTCTCCTCCTTTATTTCAAGATGCTTTGAATAATGACTGCAATTAGGGGTGTACATGGCCGGGTTGGTTCGAGTTTTTCAAATATCAAATCAAACTATTTGTGTCGGATTTTTAAATTTATAAACCAAACCAATAAAACTAGGGTTTTTTAACCTCGGGTTTTTTCGGGTTTTTCAATTTTTCGGGTTGTTTCGGGTTTTTCCGGTAAAGTATTCATACAAACATATAATTTACTTGTATTTCAAATATTTCTTTAGTCCTACCAAAATACAACTATTTAAGATGCTTCTTAAAAATATAACACAATACGATATGAATAATGACACTAAAATATCCAACAAAAATAATAAAAATGAAATCGCGTAAAACAAATATTGCAAATTAACAAGTCATAATGAAAATGATCATAATTTAAAAGTACTAAATCATGCTAAAATTAAGTTTAATAAGTATTAGTTACATGACTAAATATTAAAGGAAATTAAAATTAGATTATGTATTTTAATTGTCTAAATCAATGTAAAACTAAAGAACAAATATTCAATATTATTGTCATTCTTAGTGTTGAATTGATTTTCTTTTTGCATGGGTATTAATTTGATTTTGATTTAAGCTTTATCATAATTACCAACATATGTGGACTATAATCTTTATTGGCCTATTCATAATTCTAAGTTTCAAACTTGAAATAATATATTAAAAGATAAAAACTATGAAAAAGTATAAGAAATATTTAAAAATTATATCAAAGTAAATATTTTTATGTATAAAATAAAATTTTAAAATTATATATATAATGTCAGGTTGGTTTGGTCTCGGGTTGGTTTTTTTTAGTTAAAACCAAACCAACCCAAATATAGTCGGGTTTTTTTTCAAAACCAAACCAAGTCAAACCAAACCACTAGTCGGGTTTTTTTTCCGGGTTGACTCGATTTGCGGTTTGGTTCGATTTTCGGTTCGATTTTGTACACCCCTAACTGCAATTTTAATTTGAGCAAAATATAATTCATGTTCTATTTTTTAGTTTCTTATTCGGTATTTGATATTTATATTAAGGTTCAACTAAATTAAAATTCGAGTCAGAAAGCCTTATAATGGGTAAAATGCACTTCCAAATGAACGGAAATTTATATCCAACAAAATTTGAATCCAAAATTTTGAGTTACAAATAAAAAAATACTTACCGCTCTATTACAACTTTCTCATATGTAAAGCTTTATATTCAGTCTTCATTGTGTCAACAAAAACATCGATAACGTGCTAGGCAAATTGCATGCGGTGCCTGTCCTAATTGCCATTTAATAATTCACTTTATTTAATTTTTTAAGATCTTTATTATTAACTTGAAAAGATTGATTCTATATCATAGAAAAAAGGCCAAAATAGTCCATATCTTTAGATTTAGGTTTAAAGTAATCTTATTTCTTTTTAATGGGAGCACTATTAGTCCATATTCTTTGATAAAGTGATGCACTTTTAAAACCGTATTAGGCATATTTCAAAATAATTAAGTAAAGTAATTAGATCATTGATTCCGCTCATTCTCGTTCTTCGCTTCAGGGAATGTTCCTTGTTGTGGTCAGTACTCCATACGGTCAGATAGTAAAACTTACATTTGTTCACTAATTATGACAGTTCACCAGGGTCTCTTTCCTTCTCCCTTTTTTGCTCACTCGTAGGGGGAGAGAGTCAATTGAACATCTCAGTCATTTATAGAAATTTCACCCACATTTGATCCCCAATTCTTGTTCACCCCGAGTGATTGTATTGGGTGAATTGTGACCTCGTACAGTCGTGTCGGGTAAGCAACAATTACTTCATCACAATACTTATTTATGGGCTAACAGGTCACATTTTGACCAAGTATCCTACAAAGAGACTCCCGAGAGGCAGAAGTATTAAAGAAATGACCATAGGAATTGGCGCATCATGACATCGAAAGATGTCTCGCGCTCGGATGTTAAACTCCCGCTGCTGACATATGTCCCATGCCACCTTTCGTGAACAATTATGTCCAAAAATGAATTGCGATACAACGTGCTGAATAAGCAACAACTCTATTTCCAATTACTCGTGCTATGAATATCATAAGTTAATGTCCTTATCGTTAATTTTTCGAGCAATTAAATGCCTCCTTCTTTAAAAATGAAATTCCCAACCATGTTAATTATTGTGTTTTTATTATTTTGGCGCTAACAAATAGAATATACAACTTTGTCATTGGAAGCCCTTTCCATTCAAAGGAGAATGATCTGCAAATCTTAGTTATGTAGCATAAAAAAGGGACTAACCCTAGCTATTATAAACTAATGGGATACTAAGAAGCATAGGTGGAAAAAGACTAATCTACTAGCTATCAAGCTAGTTAAGGATAAAGACATATACCATCATTCACTTATTATTGAAAACTCTAAATACGTATTGAATGTCAGTAAGATCTTAATTAAATACATCTATAGAGAGGGTCGACTTTTAGATAAATAAAGATGACAAACATGATGAAAATCTAATAATAAGAGCAACTACACTCAATATAAAGTTTTCTTCTCTCGACAAGGTTAAGCGGTGCTACTTTTAATAAACCTAATCTTTTTAGTTTTTTTTTTTTGTGTTCCAACCATGTTAGATCACATATTTTAAAGTCGAAACTTGTAAGTTAAATGTTTTTTTTCTTTTCCAATGGGGGTTAGGAGAAAGGGAAATGAGGAGCTGATTACAGAGTGGAGAATCAAACTCTAACCAATGAAAGATGGAGAATAGAACTCTCACCTGAGAGGAAAAACTCGGTCAATCAATCAATTGAACTATAAAAATTCTACCAAATTTGAGTTTTTGTCATCACGATTTTTAAATTATATTGTTTGAACATGTATTTTATTTTACTTGAAATTTTTAAAATTTTTGTGAGTGAGTGCAAATCTCAAAAACCCAAAACCTGATATGAGCGAAACTCAAAAAATCAAAATCTAATCAAATTTCACGTTCGTTTATATATTCAAAATATAAATTTTCAAAATCTACTCCCAAAATTTACGCGAACCCGAGATTAGTTGACAAAACAAAAGATTTAGGTCAAACACATATGCAGACCCTTAAAACTTCTTCATAAATTTCATTTTGACACTCCAACTCAACCTTGTTCCATTTTAATCCTTCAACTCCAATTTTTATGTTCCATTTTGGCACTTTTTCCCAAAGAATCAACAAAGTGGATGTGTGTACTTCACATGCCATGATATGACAAAAAAAACCAATTAAAAACACATACACAACTCCTCTAACTTGCCCCCATTTTTCATTTTGTCATGCTAACTTAGTCTTGTTCAATTTTAATCCTTCAACTCTATTTTATATAGTATTATTTAAACACAAATTACTAAATTTATGATTTCTTTATTTTTATTTATGTTCTTCATTTTCACTTTTTCATTTTAAAAATCAACATCATATCTTTTAAAATAAAATAAAATAATGGATGAGCATCATTTTTTAAGAAAAATATTTTTTTAGAGTTTCTGTACATTATTGTGTGAACGACGAAAGTGTATTGGTTTTCTTTTTTAAAACAATTAATTAAATTAAATAACACCACATATTCTTTTTTTCATATCTAGTCTATTTGAACTAATTCAAATATCAGCTTTCTAATTTTTCATTCAACTAAATACGAGTAAAAAAAACTCATGTTCATTGCAAATTAATAACACTACAAAAAAATGTTGAAACTCGATAGATTTTTTTAAGAAAGAAAATCGACGCACTTTCGTCGGTTATTTTACAATAATGTACTTTTTTTTATAAAAAAAAAAGAAAAGAAATTGTTACTTTTTTTTATAAAAAAAAATTAATGATCATCCGTCAATTTTAATTTTTTACAATAACTAACGGATGAACGCCGATTTTTAAAATGCAAAATTGCAGTTGAATAACATATATAGAAATAAAGAAATCATAAAATTAGTATTTTGTGTTAAATGGAATATAAAAGAAATAGAATTGAAGGGTAATCTTTTATTATTTTTTTAAAAAATACTTTTTTTTTGTCTTTCACTCTCTTAGGAAAAATGTGATGCACACACTTTGTCACATCACTTGGAAGTGTCAAAATGGAATATAAAAATTGAAGTTGAAGGGTTAAAATGAAACAAGATTGAGTTGGAGTGCCAAAATAAAATTTAGAGATAAATTTAAGGGTCTGCATATGTGTTTATATATTCAAAATATAAATTTTCAAAATCTACTCCCAAAATTTATGCGAACCCGAGATTAGTTGACAAAACAAAAGATTTATATTATGTCAAGTCTAATACAAGTCTACATGTTGTCCATTACATTTCACGATATATAGTCAGCCAATTACTTCTTCAAAATAAACTAAGATATTTCTGGCCCCTTCTCTCTGCTTTTTCCTCTTCTTTTTTCTCCCATTCATCATTCTCTCTTTGGCTCATTCTTCCAGATAAAACATTCTCTTCATCCGCCATTAACGCTCGCCGCATCACAAACTTGCAATTCACACATAATCAACAACTTGCAGCAATTTTTTTGATCTTCCAATGTATGCACCATTTGACCTATTAAAAATGTTTTTGTTGTTTACTTTTTCATAGTATAGATCTGTGTCTGCGTAATTTTTACGCAGATGCAGATCTATAGTTTTACGTGAACTTAGTAGCTTTTGCTTAAATTTTGTATTGATTTTTGTAATTAGTTGTTTATGGTATATGAGAAATAGTGTGATTTGATTGTTTTTTTTTGTAGAGTCAAAGAGGTTGGAGGATCAGATCTAGGATTATTTTTGTTGTGTTGAAGTCATGTCGTTTACAGGGACTCAACAGAAATGCAAGGCTTGTGAAAAGACTGTTTACCCAGTTGAGCTTTTGTCAGCTGATGGGATTAGTTATCACAAATCTTGTTTCAAATGTACCCATTGTAAAGGAACTCTCAAGGTAATTTACTTAAAGTTTTGCACGTTATAATCTTATTGCTATGTTTTTATTGTAGAATGGATGTAGATGATTGATAGAATTGAGCTCAACTTGTATTGGGATTGAGTCGTAGTTGATTGATTAGAACTTGATTTTTTGTTGAGAGGACCATAGATTTCTCGGTGAGCTAGAGGTGGAGCGAGGATTTGAAGTTTATGGGGTTGGGATTCTAGCTCTTTTAAGTTGTGGATTCTAAATTAATAATTTGCGCATCTTCAATGGATTTTTTAAGATAAAATACAGGTTTTGACCAAAGCTACTGGATTCATGGAACCATAAGCTATGCTCTAGCTCCACTGAAGCAAAGATTCAAACTTTTGACTTAAAATGTGGAGCAAACCCCCCTAACTGATAGATTGCAATTTTTAATCCTACTTAAAGTTTTGCACATTATAATCTTCTTGCTGTGTTTTTATTGCATAGTGTTTCTTTCTTGCATGAATAAAGTAGAATGGATGTAGATGATTGATACAATCGAGCTAAACTTGTTTGGGATTAAGTCGTAGTTGATTGATTAAGACTTGATTTTTGCCGATAGAGCACCATAGATTATTGGGTTTTTCTTAATGTGTTGAGGTAGAAGCTAGAGGTTGAGCCAAGATTTGAAGCTTATGGGGTCAAGATTCTATTATAGTTCTTTTAAGTTGCCGGATTCAAAATTAATAATTTGTGCATATTCAATGGATTTTTAAGACAAATACAGGTTTTGACCAAAGTCCAAAGCTACTAGATTCACAGAACCATAAGCTATATTCTAGCTCCACCTCTGGCAGATGCAAAGATTCAAAATCTTGACTCTAAGTGTGGAGCAAACCTTAACTGATAATAGATTACAGTTTTTCATCCTAGATTTTTTCTTGATTTGAGTTGGAAAAATGATAAAAGGGTAAACTTCCATTATCCTGAATCCTGATGTTGGAGCATGATGCAATAGGAGTTGTAATTTGAGTTGCTATTGGCTCAATCATTAGAATAATTGTCTTAGTGTAAGTCAGTGGTGGAGAGAGAATTTTTATCAAGGGGTGTTAAAGTATGAATGAGTAAACTCACGAATAAGCAAAGGGGAGTCAATGTATATTATATGTACATAAAAAAATATTTTTTACCTAGCTACACAGTGTAATTTTCCGACAAAGGGATGTCAATTGACACCCCTTGACTACATGTGGCTGCCGTTGGTGTATGTAGTTATGTAGAGTTCCAATATGAAAAGATTATGGTGTTTTCAACTTTTCATGCATACTGACTGATGTTATATGTTTATGTGATCTTTTCTTAGTTGAGCAGTTACTCCTCAATGGAAGGTGTTCTGTATTGCAAGCCTCATTTTGAGCAGCTCTACAAGGAGTCTGGCAACTTCAACAAGAACTTTCAATCCCGTAAGTGTTTATTTCTTGCTTAATCCTTTATTCAACATTAAAGACCATAATACTTTATCTAATATGAAAATGCATTTTACTTGTGTTAGCTGTGAAGTCAGCTGAGAAGTTAACTCCAATGCTGGTAACTATCTTTGCAACTTTTGATACCTAAGATTAACATACTGAAAGAGAAGAACAGTGTATTTTTCTTAGATCTGATGCAATGTTGTGCCTCTTATACTTTCTTCTCTTGCTTTCGCCACACAGACAAAATCTCCAAGCAAAGCTGCCGGCATGTTTTCTGGGACACAGGAAAAATGTGCCACCTGCGGTAAAACGGCTTATCCACTTGAGAAGGTATAGACATCAAATTCTCAAAATTTCACCCTGTTATGATGTCTTTATTGAGGGATAAATTGTGTTATCCTTTAGTTGGCTTTGGTCCACATTGTGAACCTTTTCTGGGGAAGAGTGTTTGGTGTTTGAGGGGTCAGGGGTGGGAGTGCCCATTTCAATAATAACTTTTTTGTTTCTGGAGTTAGTCTTGAGTGTCAAAAAGTTTCATCTCTTTCATCCACAAGAGATGGCTTCAAAGTTGATTTCTGTTGTAATATTATGCACTATTGTAATTTCAATCATTTTCTAGTGGCACAAGAAAACAGGTTCATCTTTCGTCAAATGTAAATATACAAGCCAGGTTTCAAAGTCGGAGAATCTCTCTTTCAATTGGAACATGCTATGTTGCTGCAGGACGATGGATAATAATATAATGACCAAATGGAAATGGATGGTAGCTAAAAGATATTTAGAGTGGTTGAAGTTTGCATGGTTGACAAATGTTGTGATGTGTCCGTATTCTTTTAAAATAAATATAGAATAGAACAATGTCAGAAATACCAGTATCATCAGTTCGTGGTAGTGACAGCAAATGTGTTGTCTATCCTCTCAAGACTTAGAGAAATTTAACTTAAGCATAGATGAACTGAGTTTCGTAAAATTTGAGCTTATTAGCTCACAGCATAATCATTAGTAGTTCTTTGAAGGAAGGATGTCATCCAGTGCACCACTCTATTCTACTTCCTCATTAGACATCCCACTGAATACTAACTCGAAATTATTAGGCAAGTTGTGTGTGCTACCCTATCTTCTCAGCAGCCTCACACCAGTGAACTTTTCCACTTTTGAGTTGTAAGGTAGTAAAGAACTTGAACTTTATTAGGTAAAGTCAACTGTGTGCTAGGTAAGAATTCCAAAAAAAAAAAAGAAAAAAGGAAGAGTCATTTGAACCTTCTATATGCTTATTTTAGGAAGTTTGTTGATCTGATTATTGTTAACCTATGTGCTTATCTTTATATCTAAATGTGTAACCATCTCCGAATGTTGAAACTTTTCAAAATTGAACTACATATACATTGACTTGTTTATATTCCTGAGTTTTTGAGCTTTGAGTTCATTTCATCATTTAAATTGTTGACAACATTTGTCCCTGTTCCATTGACTACAAATTGTTAATGTCTTTATCTTTTTGAGATGTAAGTATGAACTTTGAAGGGTACCTTCTGGACCATTTATTTTTCAGAACTCCGAAACACTGCAACACTTCAATTTCTTGACATACATCTAAGTTGATTGACCATTTTTTTCAGGTGACAGTGGAGAACCAAAGTTATCACAAGTCGTGTTTCAAGTGTTCTCATGGTGGGTGCTCTTTAAATCCTTCGAATTATGCTGCCCTCGATGGGATTTTGTACTGCAAACCTCATTTTTCGCAGCTTTTCAAGGAGAAAGGCAGCTACAATCATTTAATCAAGTCTGCTTCAATGAAGCGTCCAGCAGCAACTGTTCCAGATTCTTAAACTGTATCTCCGTCAACTATTTTATCCAGGCTTGGTCTTTTAATATTTGTTTTCTTCTTCTTTTCCGTATATCTCCAATTGGTGTGCCATTTTGGTTTACTATGTGATCTGATTTCCACAACTGTGAAAACTTATCCTTTCGTTGTTCTTGTTGTTCCTTTAACTTTCGGATGTTAAATGTTCCTGCTGTTTTATCATGACTTTTGGCGGGAAAGTTGTGTGCAGTTCTTACGAGTGTTGTTACATGATTGTCCTCTCATGCTGTTCCTTATCTTTGTTGACATGCACTTTTCAATTATTAGATTCTAATAGGCTGATTAGATATAAATAGTTGGTTTTGGTATCCTGTATCTGAAACCAAAACCAACTAGCTCAACTAATCCGGATTTGACTTGGTAAACCAACTACCAAGAAGGCTTGAATCAAAGACTTCTAGTTAAGGGTAGAAGGATCACACCTATTCTACCATCCCTTGGTGGTGTACTATTAGAGTTCAATCTTGGTATTTTTCAACTTAAGGGGTAACTTTTACCACCAGCAAAAGAACCTTGTTCTGCTAACGACTTTAGGTAAGTACATGCATCCTCCCAGTGGTGTCAAAAAGGGTGTCGCGACCAATTCAGTCCAACGCTCCTCTCCTCTATGACATTTATCGATATAATTGTCAACAGGTTTGACATTCTCCTCTCCAAGTTCAGGGAAATAAAATCCAGAAGAAAGGAAGAAAAGCAGCAAGATGGTGGACATTGTTACTGCTCATGGAAGTTCATGAATTGTTACAAATTTAGTGCATTTGCCAACTTCCTGGTCTATGTAATGTATTTTGTTAGCTGGATTATGGTTGGACATTTTACTAAAGGTCTATAATTTACCTCTTATGTGATTCTTGTTGAAGCATATACCCAAAGAGCACTTGCATTGTGAAAGATTTTAAAGACTCCCCATTGAGAAGATCAACAAGATTTCGTGATCCTCTAGTGAATTTATTCCAATTTCAAGAGCTAGGATTGAATTAGTATTGATATACCAATTCGATCTGAGTTCGTTTATTATACTGAGCATTTTCAATAGTATGCCTTGAAGCGTACTTGAATGCACAAGATTTTGTGTTTCCATTGTACTTGGAGGAGTTGTAGGATGGGATGGTCAGATTGCAAAAAAAATTCGGAAGCTATATCATCAAAATATTTACGGGCTAACATATAAGAAATTGAGAAAATCACACATTTTTTGTAAAATAGCTCCTATGTGCAAAAAAAATGGTGAGACTTCACGTATTGCTCTCCCGAATCTCTACGGAGGGTTTCGTAAAAGTTTTGTAAAAAAAAATCGTCTTGAAGCCATATCATCAAAATATTCATGGGTTAACATACACGAAAAATTGATTATTTTTTTTAATTAATGTAAAATGGTTCCTAATAGCCCAACATATGTGCAAAAAATAGTGAGGCTTCACGTAGTGCTCCCCCAACTCTCTACGGGTTCCGTGAAGGTTTTGCAAAAAAAATCATCTAGAAATCAAATCACCTAAATATTCATAGGCTAACACACATGAAAAATTGAGAAAATCGCCTAATTTCGGTAAAATGGTTCCTCAATATCTAAAATATGTACAAAAAAAGTGAGGCTTCACATACTGCTCCCCCAACTCCCTATGATAGGCTCCGTGAAGGTTTTAAAAAAATTATAGTCTGAAAGTTTTATCTCACCGAAATATTTATGGGCTAGCACACAAGAAAAACTAAGAAAATCATCTAATTCCTATAAAATAGCTACTTAATGCCAAAATTTTGAGCAAAAAATGGTGAGGCTTCATGTACTCTTCTTCAACTCCTGAAAAACCAAGTAAGTCACCGAATTTCTAAAAGTTGGCTCATAAATGCGAAAATATACCTGAAAAAATTGATGGGACTGTACGTAATGCTATCCCAACTCATTACAAAGGTCCTCAGAAATTTTTTTCAGTTTTTTTTTTTGAATGCTTTGAGGCGCAAGATCCATAGACTAATACACATATGAAAAACACAAAAAAATGTGTAATTTCTAAAAGTTGGCTCGTAAATGCGAAAATACGTTTGAAAAGATGGTGGGACTATACATAATGCTTCCCCAACTCACTACGGAAGTTCTTTTCAGAAAAATATTTTGGGTGCTCCGATGAGCCAGATCCATGGACTAATACACACGAGTACCCAAGAAAGTCGCGTTATTCCTAAAAGTTGGCTCGTAAATGCGAAAAAATGCATGAAAAAATGGTGGGACTGTACGTAATGGATTCCTCAACTCATTATGGAGGTCCTAATAAAGTTTTTTCAGAAAAAGTTTTAAGGCGCCCCGTGACGCTAGATCCATGGGCTAATACACACAAAAAATCAAGAAAGTCAGGCAATTCCTAAAAGTTGGTTCATAAATGCGAAAATATGCCTGAAAATAATGATGAGACAGTGCGTAATGCTTCCTCAACTCACTACGGGGGTCCTCATTAAGTTTTTTTAGAATTTTTTTTGGGTACTTCGAGGCACCAGATCCATGGGATAATACACATGAAAAACAAAAAAAGTCGCATAATTCCTAAAAGTTGGCTCATAAATGCGAAAATATGCCTGAAAAAAATGGTGGGATTGTACGTAATGCTGATGTAACACCCCAACTTTTAAAAACGTCTAAATTAACTCGTATCTTCGTGAAAAGACAAGGAGGGTGAGTAATAAATTAAAAATGATGTGTTATGTGATATTTTAAGTGTTCAAGTGTGGTATCTCAAGTTTTGAAGTTAGGTAAGTGTCAAAATAAAGGTTGGCGAAAGTTACCGTAAATTCCTTTTTAAAGATTTGTTTGAAATTTGAGTCAAATGTCTCAGACGCTTTCTCCCAATCTATTAAGAGTTATGGTCCCAACGAGCTATGAAATCGAAGGTCTACGAGTCTAGTTTCCAACGCATCAAACCGTTCGTTCATACGACTTCAGAATAGAGAGATATTCACATTTTCGTGGGACTGCACAAGCAGGCACGTGAGGTGGGGCCCTAAGTCGGTGGAATGTTACATATATCTTCTCCTTCGACTTTTTTCACCATTTTTAAGCTAAAAAAATAGAGAAATTAGAGAAATCCATTTCTAGGATCAAGTGAAATATAGATTTTCTCGACTTAAGTCCTTGACGAAAGTTGTTCTACGCGTTGGGCTCATCATCGTGGTATAATTTATTTTATCAATTGCGTAGCATATCACACTTTAATGTTGGGACAGCAAGGGTTTGGATATATTTGAAGTTTTTGAAGCGTATTACGACCTTAAGATCGAGGTAAGACCCTTCTTTCATCGACTCTAGCTTTTATAAGCATCAAATAGCAATTTGCGACAGAAATACATATATTTTATCGTATTGTCATGGTATCTTTTATTTTTGGGTGTTGATTATGGTCCTACCTTGTTGTAGTATCGAGAGAGTATTGATTAAAAGTCATTAGGCCACGTGAATTTAGCGAAAAAGGTATGTTAAGGCTATTCTCTACTTACGACATGTTTCCTTAATGCTTAGAAACAATGTATTTGGGTTGTTATCCTTGATATACTTGTAGCCGTGATTGTTGATTGTTGGCTGCTCGAATTGATATAATCCTCCCTTGTCGAGATTCTTATTCAGTTAGAAGTGTCCATATGTTGGACACGACTTAGAGGCTATTTGTATAGGTTGTTTATAACTAAATTGCTCGCTTTTAGCGGTTGGATTGTTATTATTGTCGTTGGGGCTATTATGGTTAGCTGCAGGAATGTGATCTATGCCTAAAAGGGCTATGTTCTGCCTACAGGGCTATATGGATGCATAACAAGGCTATGAGTTGCCTACAGGGCTATTTTGACGCCTAAGAAGGCTATGTGTTTCCTACAGGGCCATATTGTTGCCTAAGAGGGTTATGAGTTGTCTATAAGCTACGTTGATGCCTAAGAGAGATATGTGCTACCTACGGGGATATATTAATGCCTAAGAGGGCTATGTGACTGCCTACGGGGCTAGGGGACTACTGATAGGGGTATATAGGCTGATTGGCACCTTCCGGGCTTATGGGGGCCTGAGTAAGTGGTCTTGTGTGCTGTTTGTACCTACCGAGCTTATGGGGGCTTGGCTAGGTTGTTGTTTTATTATTTTTGATAAGTTTAGATTTAGGAGCAGGTCAGTACACTTATCTTAGCCTTGATCTATTTATTGGATTATTCCAGTATATTAGGATACCTCATCATAGTTTATTGTCTTTCATACTCTGTACATTATTTTGTACTGACACCTCATGGCCTTGGGGGCGCTGCATTCATACATGCAGGTCCTAATAGACGACTGAGTAGACCTCCTCAGCAGCATGATTGACTTTTATCCGGTTGGCTAGCTCCTTTCCTCCGGAGCTGCCATAGTTGGGAGGTTTGTTACTTTTTGTTGTATATATCTTTATGGGTAGGCTGGGTCCCTGTCCCACAAATCTTTACTACTTTTAGAGGCTTGCAGACTAGTGTGTATGGTTTATAGCTACGTTATCGCCATACTGGCCTATGTTGTTGGTTTGCGGAAGCTTGTGCGCTGTTTAATGTATTGTATTGATATATACCTGCTTTTAGTTTTGGTATAGATATCATGGTGGCCTCGACGACCCAATCTGGACTTTTGTGCTAGTTAACTATTTATTTATATGATCTCCTGGGAGTAACTGATTCTTTTATAGATCAGTTGACAGGGGCCTTGCCGGCCGATGACTTAGTTTTAAGCTGAGATATACTTGTTTGATTTCTTGATTTCGTGTGGCTACCATGCGCTAGTAGCAAATGGTTTAGTAGGGTCGGCTCGAGCCTGAGTTTTGGCATTAGGAGCCAGTTGTGCCCCTCGAGTTTGGGGCATGACAGCTTACCCAAATTATTACAGAGGTCCTCATAAAGTTTTTTAGAAAAGAAAATTTGGGTGCTCCGAGGCACCAAATGAATGAGCTAGTACACCCGAAAAATCAGTAAAGTCGCGTTATTTTTAAAAGTTGGCAAGTAAATATGAAAAAATGCCTCAAAAAATGGTGGGACCGTACGTAATGCTTTCCAAACTCATTACAGAGGTCATCATAGAGATTTTTCATTAAAAAAAATTGGGTGCTCCGAGGCGCAAGATTCATGGGCTAA